CTGTAACAATTTAAAAATCAATAATAAAAGAGCTTTGTTGGCTTTGTCAGACATATAAAAGATTAAAAAATTTTTTTTCGTTTTCCGACAATAGGATGTAATAAAAAAAAATTTTTTTTTCTCTTTTTTATTGCTTAAAATGCAACTTTTTATTATGTCTCGCAAGAACAACTTTTTTTTTTTGATAAGGAAAAAAATTTTTTCAGTTGTTTGTGTCAGTGTACCATTCATTTTTCAGTTCTGTCTTCTTTTGTTCTTTGCTGAAACTAGCAATAAAAGTACTTCAAATAGACGAATAGTTACCTCAGAGCTCAAAATGATAGTGTTTCGCTGAGCCACTGAATCCACTCAACGACGTTTTATAACAGTGGAACGACAGATTGGTATAAAAACTATAATTCTTCAGCCTTTAGTTGTGTTTAAAAAGCTGCAAGTCTAAAATGCACAATGCGAAAGTTTAATTACTTATTTGTGAAAAATCTAAAATTTTTAGAAATGGCAAATTTGTAAAGCGATTATGAAAACCTCTTCAGCAAACTTTCAGGAGTTTTAGGAAAAAAAAATTAACTGGAGACAAAGACTGCAGTAGAAGAATACTAACTAGATGGAACTCACAAACTCGTTAAATACTTCAGAATATCATCAAAACAGTTAAAGGGTCAAACCAAATTGAGAGATGTATCAGAAGTTTATTTTGAAAGTTAAATTGATGTAGTAGTCAAAAAGTTTGCTTAGACAAAAAAATAAACCTTTTAACATAACGAAGTAATTTTCCATTTCGCAGTAAAAGACTTAGCATTGGTTGCAAACATCGTAAATCCACTTGTCTCATATAACGATTAGAAGAAGTAACTGTTTAAAAGTTTTAAACTCTTCTTCTTACTTGCTTAACATACACATTTTGAAGCAAAAAACGTGCTGTTCTCGTCGTAAAACAAAATCACTTTTCTCTTCAAAAAAAAAAAAAAATTAGTGAGCGACCTGCAGATAATGTAAAGTTAAAAAGCCCCAAGTAGTTTTCTGGCAACTGCAACCGGTGACCCATTTCAGTATTGTTTATTCTAAAATCGGTTAAAGCCTAAAAACTTGCATAACTGTAATCTATTAAATAGAGGTGCTTATCAAGTAAGATTTTCTTCCAGATATATATGTCCAATATAAAAAACAATTCAATATCTTATAAAGTTATAAATCGCCAACTGTACAGTAGAGGAAAGAAAGTGTTGCTCTGGCTAAACAATTTTTGTGCTTCCTTGTAGCTTATGATTATTTTCAGAAGAACTTTTGTGCCAACAGCACAGCATGTATTCTTAACTTTTCATTATTTTTTGAGATAAAAAATGAAGTTCAACTCTCGGTGGTTTCTCTAGGGGCGTACAAATGCGAATCTTTATAAGAAAATGTAGGATCAGGAAGCAATTTTCTGTATATAGGTTTATTAAGCTAATCTTTCATTGCAAATTTAGTATAATGGGTGTTTCGCATTGCCCTTGACAAGAAGAACAACCAATTCCATATTATTTGTTTAATATTGCTAAGGTTATTCACATACGTTTTTTCGCATCCGACTATCTGTTTACATCGTTCCATGGTGATTTAAACAAAGAATTTTTGCAACACTTTATATAATAAAGAGTTACCCATACATTTACGCTATAGTTGGTAACAGCTGTGTAAAATATTTCAAAAAAGCTCTACAGCAGAAATTTCTGCTGTAGTTGTTCCTCTTATAAGAGAGTAAAAATGATTGGTTTCATCTGCCAATCTGAGGAAATGACAGCAAAGCCTCGTTCACAGACATTTTTGCGAGCAGAATCAACAGCGAGTCCTTAAAAACTACCAGCAGGTGGATTTTGCCTGCCTTAAATAGGAAATTCCTTCCTCACCTTTTCCATTCAAAAGCAGAATTTGGAAGAAAGAAACATAATTTCAAGGGCTCTAAGAATTACCTTGAGGAAGGAACCTGGAGTTGGAGTGAATGAGCTGGGGAAGGGAGGATAGAAAACCAACGCTTTTCAACTTTTTTACAACTCTTTTGGAACGATTAATCTGCAAAACTTAAAGCCCATTCTTTAAAAGCAGGCCTATGTCTGATGAGAGTTCTTCTAGCGCAGAGAATCATCGTAATTCTAGCTGGTTAAAACCTATTTAATGGTTTGTTTAACAGCACTCTCACTGATTTTTACGTAGTAAAAGAAATACTTTTGCGCATGATAGGTGTCATGATATTTTCATCGACAAACTGTTGGATCTTCCACTGTTTTCTCTGGTTTTTTTTGAAGCTTTTACCGTATGTATCTTAAAGAAGAAAAGTAGATTTTTTTCAGGAAACAGAATTTTCTCTGTTCCTTGCATATTCAGTCCAAACCAAAAATGTAACTTTTGAAAAATGCTTAGCATACTACCCTTTCCTCAGCTTCTAAAATTTCTGTGAACCTTCGACATCCCACATCGCATTTGCGTCCAAGAATACAGAAAATTTTATTTATTAATGGATATTCGACCATAATGCATTTTCTTTTGGTAATTAAGTACGATATTATTGAGAGTTTTAACTTCTGAAATTATTTTTTTTGAGGTTGTTTTTGTAAAATGCTCTTCACAGAAAGAGAAAATTAAATGGCATTAGAGTGAAAGTATGCCCAAACAATTATTTTCACAAAGCTGGTTTTTTAGAAACTAACTTTTACTGTTACCCAATTCATATGCTGAAAAGATTATAGCACTTCACCACTCAACTGTAGTAATCAAAACACACCGCTTAGATAAGGAAAAATTATATTGAGGATGCTCGATATCATATTCAACGCTGCTGATAAGAAAGACATATTAGAAGTACCATTTCATTTTTGAGCCATAAAAGCAGCCTGTTCTTTAGAAAACTGATTGATTATAATGCTTTATCATTCACTACTAGCGTCTCGTTCAAGATTCTGAAAATACCATTGATGTTATCCTTCTTCTTCAATGTTTCCCTTTTCTTTCTTCTCCAAGTCTCGCTACCCACCTATTTTGTCCCAAGCCTATATTTCAACCCAAGAGAGGTAACTTTTCCGGTAAGCGGTAAGTCAACACCTCATTTACAAAACATCAACAGTCAGCAAATGAAAGTTTATCCTACCAAAATGCCATACATTTTTTATCATAGCTTTCTAAATTCGGCTTTTGAGGCGGATATAGTATTTTTATTGCTTTGAACAACTTTCTTTTTCCGTAGCATTCTTGAGGCACATAATTCTGTAGAGATCTGCGGGATTTCTTATCTGAGGTTGGCAAAAACTCCACCTGCTGGTAATTTTTAAAAACTCGCTGTTGATTCAGTTTTGAAAAGTGCTTGTGAACGATGCCTTGCTGTCATTTCCTCAGAGTAGCAGATGAAACCGATCACTTTTTCTCCCTTGAAAGAGGAACAAATACAGCAGGAATTTCTGCTGTAAAGCTCTTTTACAACATTTTACACAACTGTTACTAACCATAACGTAAATGTATGGGTAACTCTTTATCACATTAAGTCCTGCAAAAATATTTTAATGACAATCATAAAGAAGTAGATTATTATGAAGTTGGGAAGCCTGCTCTTCTAAAACTGAACATAGTAGATATTGATATACCACTATAAATTGTTGCAGGTGAATTTTCTCCTGCAACGCCTATTTCCGGATTCTGAAAGTTTAGGTCTGAGAGATAATCCTTCTCTCCACTTTGGTCAAGTTTTCATTTATTAGGTAACTTATGCACTAAGGACTTAAACTGTCCCGTCATAAACAGAAAGTGCGTGCTAACTCTCGTGCACTGTTCACAAAGTGCAAAAAATTGGGACTTTGGGGAACTGTTTTTCAAAGCTCAGAAAACCTGCTACTGGAAGACTCTAACGGTATTTAGTTTTTTAGCCAAATGGAGGTACCGAATAACCGTTTGATAGAGCCTAGCGTAGAAAAAGCGGCGCGTGGCTTTGATTAAAAGAATGGACAGGTCAATTTCAACCTTATTCCAAAAAACTGTGACGCGTTCTTTGAAAATGTGCATGCACAGTGCCTTCTACAGTAAAAACGTCCATTTCGCTCAGGCAATCAAAGAATAAATAAACTTGCGAACACACTGATGCTGTAGTCTCAAATAGACTTTGAAGAATAGCTCAGAAGTGTTTTAACATCCGGGAGAAAAAGCCTGATAGCCAGTAAGACTCTGGAAACCGATGCAGGAGAGCTCTTTCTACATTTAGAACTTCCCAATCTTCCGCGTCTAATGATTCGAAAACAGGTCGAAGCAGCCCAAAACAAGTAAACAAAAAAAGCGTTCTTCTGCAGCAGAAGATGAACGCAAGATTAAGAAATTAATTTTACCTTGAAAAGTAGATTTCACCTCAAATTTCATCTGATTACAACTGCCAAAAGAAGAACCAAGAACTGTGAAACTTGAAATACGGTAATATAAAGAATTAGTAGCTTCCAACTTTCGCTCCAGTGCTTAACTTTAATTGGCACTACTTGTTTTTAGTTGTATAAAAGAATCTTGAAACTGTTAAACCCCTCGATTTACCCTACAAGTTTATTGATTTACCTTTGAATTTTTATAACTGGTAAAGATAGCTAGTTAACAGATAGGAAGCTGCCTTTTCAAGAGGCAATGGGTATTTGTCGCCACGAGCTTTTTTATTTAAGCATACTTTTTGTCAGCAAAAATTGTTGTTGGTACTCTTTTCCTGTTTTGCGAATGCTTCTACTGCTAATGAGCGATTATTCCTGCCTTTCCCGCTTTCGCAAAACTGGAATTCTTGAAGTTTCTCTCATCTTACTTACTTCGAAAATCCTAATGTAACTGCCTTTTTCCGTCTGACCAGAGCAAAAAGATAACGAAAGCAGAGAGCAAAACGATAAAAGTGTAAATACATTGCGTTAATTATTTTATCTACTGCTTTTCTGAGAAAGTTCCAACGATTTTTCCAACTCTGACAGATTTTTCATTCAGAAAGACAAACGTCTGAAAACCGGAAGGTAGTGAAGCAAGAATTCGATAACAGTCAAATTACAGAAACATTTTCTAACGACCAGAAAAACCTTTCAGGTCTATCACACTCATTAAACGCAACAAAGACAGCAATTTTCTTTTCCGTTATTCATCAAAAACAATTTATTTGGAGCTGAGTATAAACAGTTACAACTAGACATTTAGAACCAAGTTTCACTCAACAAGAGACAAAAAACTGTAAGATGTCCTTTGCCCTAAAGTTTACATCATACCCAAACAAATTTTTAGTCCCTAACTTTCAGCTCAATTCTCATATCCTTAATCCTCCTTTTTGACTGCAAATAAAAAAGCTAAATTCATTTAGGAACTACGGCACAGATAACTCACAGCGCTACATCAATGCAAAGGTCTCAAAAATTACCTTAAAGACAAGAGCAATGAAGCAATAACTAACCTTATGTGAAATAAATACTACAGCTTCTAATTTTTTAGACTTATTCCCACAATGTTTTTCCCAAAACAGTTCCTAGTTCAGAATATTGGAAGCAAAAGTTTGATGTTTCCAAAAATTACTAAAGCTTTTCAATACAACCGGACCAGACCCACAGTTTCATTGATAAAAAAAGAAGACCGGTAGGTGTAATTTAATATCTAACACACAATTACAAAGAAGCAGTTTTTTATAATAAACTCAAAAGAATCGTTAAAACGTGCACAAACCACTGCAAAACTTCTTTCTTCCTATATATGTATTTTCACGTCAAACTTTTCAAAGCATTAGAAGCGGGTTGTGACGTAAAAATCCTGTATGCTGCGCTTGTGCACCGATTTATAAATAACAAAACCAAAAAGTTATTGTTTAAAACATATAGTGAGACCTAAAATGAAAAAATATCAGGGTGACTAAACAAAGGAAAATTTTTTATAGAAAAGTGAGCAATCATACTTTTTCTGTTAAAAAGAAATTTGAAAAACTAACAGATTTTTACGTAACTTAGAGGAAATCTTCAAATGTTAACCTATAAGAAAGAAAACACAAAGCTTACTATAAGTATAAGCCAATATGCAAAATCTGCTACATCCCCAACAAAAGTGGTGCGAATCCGGAACTGCAGCAACCACCGTTTTGCCTCCTCAAACTGATCGTGTTTAAACGTTCGTATAAGCACCCATGTGAACAGAAAAGTCCACTCACAGTGTATGTATAACGCCTAAATGTTGGAGACCAGACTTTGATTGTATACTGCGAAATTTTGTTTGAAGAAAAAAATAAAACCGACTCGAATAAAACTTAACTGTATTTTCAAGATAATAATTTTAAAGTCGTAGGTTGACTCAGAAACAACTTCCTACACCAGAGTAAAAACTGTTACCATCTTTAAAATGCTGTAAACGATATGAGTGATTTGATCCACTTCTCAAAGTGTATCCGCGACAGCCGATTAGTTTAAGACATTTTAGACCTGGCCACTAATTTGGTACTCTTCCACCTTCATATAAGACAAACGCTGTAGAGAAAGTAGTGGTCGGAAAGCAGATTTTGACAATATAGTTGAAATCACGTCAACGCGATATTTCTCAAGTCTTTCAACTTTTCTATAATTATCTCTGAAATATGAGGCCTGGTAGTGCCTCGCAGCAACGTTAGCTGTTCTCCAATAATCACTGTCAGCCAAAACTTTCCTACTTCTTCAAGTGAAACTAGTAAGCCGTAACGTTTAGATTTTATTACAGGTACTTAAGCTTTTTTTGTAACGCTGTGTTCGGTTGCTTCTTTCATCACCATCAAAGCTTCATCTGGCTAGTTGTGATTTGCCAAGCATGTCTAAGAAAAAGCAAATGTTTTGCAAGTTTATCAAACCATAAATATCTCGGTCGGCAGATATCAGAGAGAACCCATTCTTTACCTAAAATCGACAAACGTTCAAAGACGGTTCTTTAGTATCCCTTTCAGAAATATTACCACATGTATCTTCAACCACCGCGCTTCATTTCTTGCATCAAGTTCGTGCAGATTCTTCTTCTGCAACTTCTACATCAAACTAGCTTGTTCAAGACGCACTTTAAGCGAAGAGCGGTTAACACAAACATGTCTCCTTGTAACTCACATGCTAATTCCTACTGCTCGTACTTATAAATTTGCATTCACAACAGGCTTCGTGTCAACATTCTGATCTCCTGAATCAACAATTTGAATCCAAAACTAGATTGTCCATTGTCGAACACTGATAGACACTCACACTAATTCTGTGTTTCAAGTTGCTTCCGCAGTCTGATTCTAAATCTAAAGATTGTGATCCATACTAAGCAATTCTCACAATTTTCTACTCCTAATTTCTCCGCTTTAGAGCTTCTTTTGAGGAACGTGCCGTAAACGTTTTCCTTCAATAAACCAATTTTTTTAGTGTTTGAGCTGAAGCCTAAAACTACAGTAAGTTTTGGAAATCCCAGTGAATAAATTTTTTAAACAAGCGACATCAGAATTATAGGCAACTTTTTTCTATAAATGAAATATGGAAGTATTAAACGAGTCAGCTTTTGTTATTTACTGATCAGGAAATTCAGTAATAAAGCTCGCTCTTATGATTAGCAAATCCAACCTCAAAAAACATAAATGTAGCAAACAGTGGTGAAATTGTGAAAGCGAAAATGCTGGAGGCAAGCATTATGACAGAAACAAGAAGGCAAGTAAAAGAAACGGCAATGATACGCAAATCCGTTACTGTACTACGCTGCTTCCCTTTAGTACCCTCTAAATGGGTAATCTAAAAAAAGAGTCTTATGAGCACCTCAAAATACACAAACCCTGCCCCGAAATTGGTTGTTATCAAACTAACAAATAGATATAAAAACAACTGCTACTTTGCAAATGCGAAAATATACCGTGTCTAAACGCTGGATCGTTTTCTGCGATAGATGCTTAAAAACCAAACATAACAAACTCCACAAAACCAGAAAATCAAGCACGTCGATATTAGGTTTTGCTTCATCATCACCATCTATCGTTAAGCACATAGTAGCAACTATTAGTAACTGAAGTCTTACAATGAGATGAAAATAATCTTAATGAAGAAATGCTGGCTACCAATGAAAAAAACGTCTTTTCACTGTTTCAATTAACAAGATTTGGAAACTGCTTAAAACAACCTAAGTATAAATAAAGTGCTTCATGGAAACATAAGAAAAAACTTACTTTATCTAAGCACGCCGGTTTTAAGAACTGTTCAGCCAACTCTGCACGAAATTGAAAATTTTGAATTCCGTTTCCCAATACCAGCAGCACTAGGTGCCGGCCCAGCAAAACAAGAGATACATGTAACTAAAAGTGCAATTTACATATGAAGCAATCGTTCTCAGAGAGGCAACTTTCGAACTATTATAAGTTACGTCCATAGGCAGCGCCAAAACTCAGAATAGTTTGGGAATTGCGGGCTGGACGCGCCATTTCTGTAATTTGTGAGTTTTGATGTTTCAATTCTTCAGGCCCTAAAATCGCTCAAAGCTCCTACTAAGACTATTATCTCAGTAACTCATACTCCCTCACTGTAACCGAAACTTTGGAATGTAAAACTTCCATGAACTATTGAAGTTAAATTCAGCCAGACTAAAGAAGCAAATCTTTTTGCTTCACTTCATCTTCTTTAAACCGCATTTTAGTTATCAATCGGCAAATATTTTAACAAGCAAAAATACTTTCAAAAACTAGAAAAAGTTCTAACTATACTTTATTTTGCAATACAAAGTGCAGTTACAAGAAATACAAAACTGTCCAAACTGTTTTATAATTAGGTAGCGTCTCGCTATGAAGAACACTTATTTAAAACAGTCGAAAAGCGTAAGAGAAGTATTAGGAAAAAGGATACAAACATTGGTTTGAGGAAATACAGAAAAAGATGATATCACTGAAACACAATGAAAAAGAATTACAAAAGGTGACCACTGTTCAAAAACAGCAAACGTCTCCCTAAGCTAGTATGAATGTTCTATGCCGCAACCGAGAAGTGTTCTTCACTAATTTATGCAAAACGAAATTTACCAATTTAGTCAACAAAATTGAGCAGACCGCGTGACCTAGGTTCGTAACCAAAAGCATAGACTGAGTAATGTTCAAATAATCGATCCAATTCAAAACCATTAATAAATAGTCGTTTTCGAGAGGTTGACGAAGGTACAAAAAAATCGAGAAAATCAACTACACTTTGTTCAAAAAGAGAAAGAAATACTACAGGAAACATTCTTCCTCACAAATGAATTCTTCAAAAAATCAACGAAATATGGTTAAGACTTTCACTTAGCAGGTCATCACTACCTTGCTTTTGCTCAATAATGAATAAAAGAAATCTGAGAATAATCTGCATTGTGAATGCTGGCAAAGTTGCTATAGCCCTATTACAAAAAGCATGAAATTTTCTCACGAGACACTAAAATATGAATATAATTTCGTGAATCTTGGCGATGAAACTAATACGCCAAGTACTGCAACATTGAAACATTCTAACAAAACTGAAAAAAAAAAAAACTTGAGAAATTATGCGTGCCTTCAAATTGCCACATTACTGAGTTACTAAGATGCAGAGCGATTCCGAAAAAATATTACGCATTAATCATTCTTGATTCAGCTTCACGTTTTAACAGTTAGGAGGTGTGTATTTTGTCGGCAAAACATAAAGAGCCACTGAAACAGCTTCTTTCCTGCACTCAAATTCTGTAATGTAGGTCCTTGCTGACAAGTATTAAAATGTACTTAAAAAGTAGTGTAAAAAATAAAGTAAAAATAATATATGTTTACTCTGTAAAGCAATTTACATTTAATGACACTCATTCATCAAAGCTCCGTCCTTTCTGCTGTATAGAGCCGTAACTAAAAAGAAACGTCTAAGAAAACAACAAAAGTGTTTTAGACCTCTCAACACAATCGCTGCAGGAGAAAATTTCGACAAACCATATTTGTCACATATCTTTTAAAACAAGTAAAAAATTTTGATCAAAACAAATTGAGCATTTTTTCGACTCCCATAAAGCGGATGACGACAGTTATCACTTATATCGACATTTCTTTGATTATTATTTTCCGTCATATTCCTACCTATTCCAAATCAAAAACGCCTTCATTACTAACAGGAAGCTTCAAAAGTTCAAGCAAATCCAAAAAGGAAAGAAACAACATCCACCAAATTCCTGGCAGATAGCATTTCCAACTTTTCTTCTAAAAACATAAGAAACCACCCTTTTATAAAATGAATAAAACTTGATAGGTTGCCCAAAAAACCTACTTTGCATTGTCAACTATTAAACATTAAACATTAAAGAAAAAAAAACAGTACTAAACTATTTCATACCTGCTACTGTCACCTCAAGAGTGCTATATTCTCTCGACCTGCTTTCAAGCTTTACCTCTCTGGTGGCTTTGGTTTCAATGAAAACTCTTGCAGGCATTTCTGATGTCTTCCTTTACAGAAACCTCTCGTTTGCAAGAAGACGACAAAAAAAAAAAAAAAAAA